CTCAGCTATTTTCCACCACCTACAACACAACCAGGGTCACTCTTTCAAACTCGAGTCCACGGATGTCTTAGACCGCGAAACACGCTGGTGGGAACGGGGTGTTAAAGAGGCAATATATGAAAGAATGTACAACCCCACCCTCAACAGGGAAGGGGGGCTACGGGTCGATCTTTCCGGCACTTGGGATTTGGCACTCCCAGCCCCGAGAACAGACAACACTTAAGCTCCTGTTCTGTATAACAGGAGCTTTCAGACTATCATTCGTAGCGATGGGAAGATGACAGACTCGAGACGGATTTCTACCGGTTTCGACTTTAATTCAGTCTTTATCAAGAATGACAGAGATCGGACCACTCCTCCTTTTATACTTTTACCGTGTCTATCTAGTGCAGGGCGCTCTGCTCGAGTTTTAGATATTGACCAATCAGCATTAAGCATCTCATATTGCCCTGGTTTAGGCTGGATTGCACTGACCTGGAGGTCTAGTTCACTATGCACTGAGTACTATGCACTAGGTTAGGTTGCCATGACCTCAGTTGACTTTGGTTGACCTATGGTATGACTTCATCCATTGTTCTAGAACAATTGCCTATGTCAATTAGGTCCTGTTTTTACATTGGAGGATGAGGCAACTTACAGTTATTACGTCATGGTGACATTTACAATGGTGTATGCATAACAGTCTGAGTGAGTGGTCCGTGCAAGCAGAGTTAAGCAAATACATGAACAGGAAATCTGTTGTGCGAACATTGAGTGAAGAAAATAAATAATAAATACCACAAACTTCTGAATTTTCTAAGTGGGTACGTAAGTGCTCGGATCCATAGGATACTAGTAACCGACAAATGCGAAAACTAAATATGATTACAGAGGTTTGTGCCGGTTACGACGAGTACTTTACCTCTTAACCCCTCATACCCTGGTAATTTCCAGAGATTCTAGGTTGAGTCCTTCTGGGTGAAGTGTACGGAGTTGATGGATCCAGTACGATTCCCTCTGAAGGCGCCGTTGTCGGGTGATGTCTTCGGTTCTGCCGTATGCCAGCTTTTCAAGTCCGATGACCTCCATGTCCGCGACGGTGTGGTTCGGTTGGTTGAAATGGGCAGAGATGGGAGTGTCTTTGTCCGTTTTGATGGACGATCGGTGCCCATTCAACCTGTTGGCCAGCGTCTGTCCTGTTTCTCCGACGTATTGCATGCCGCATTTTTTGCACTGTATCATGTAGATGATGTTCTTGGTGCGGCATGTAATATGGGCCCTGATGTTATAGCGTCTCGAAGTGCGATGGCTGTGGAAGTCCTTACTCTTCCTGACGTATGTGCAGGTGAGGCACTTTCGTCCGCATGGGTAGGAGCCCGAAGGGATGTTTTTCGTGATGAAGTTCTTGTTTTCCTTCGGGATCCGGGCTCGTACCAGTGAGTCCCTCAGATTTTTGTTGCGGCGGTAAGCGATGAGTGGTGGGTCTTTGAAGATATCTCGTGTTCGGGGTGATAACTGCAGGATGTTCCAATATTTTCTGAGGATGTTGTTGATGGGTGGTAGGTGTGGATTGTAGGTGGTGACTAGTACTGGTCGGTCTTGTGGAGTTGGCTGTGTCTTCTTGGGTCCTAGGAGTTCTTTCCTTGGGCGTCTCAGTGCGCGTTGTGCAGCTTCGTCCAGGAGTGTGTCTTCATACCCTCTTTTCTGGAAGTGTTCCTTTAGCTGCTGTGCTCGTTCCCTGTATTTGGGTTCGTCAGAGCAGATTCTTCGTACGCGTAGGAATTGCCCGAAGGGGATACCCCGTTTGCAGTGGGTGGGGTGGGAGGAGCTCCTTAGGAGGTACTGGTGCTTGTCTGTGGGTTTTGTGTAGAGATCAGTCGCGAAGGATCCCTCTGAGATGCTGATGGTGACGTCCAGGAAGTGGATAGAGGTAGTGGATGTTTCTACTGTGAATTTGATGGTGGGGTGTGCTGTGTTAAGGTCTTGTATGAAGGACTGGAAGTCTTCTTCTGAATGTGTCCAGATGGCGAAGATATCAGGAGCTTTCAGACTAATTTGCATCATCTTGTCTTGACTTGTCTGACTTTTGTTACTCCGTGAAGGAGGTCAGGACCTCTGGACGGAGTGTTGTAATCGGCTGATTTTTCAAGTTCGCAGTCAAAACACTGGGTTCTCTTTGTGTAATCGGCACGCAATTTTATACGCCGTCTGCGGGCATGCCCGTGTTGATGCACGAATGTGTATTTTGCCGTTGCTGCTTTCGCGGTCAATGTAATATCGCAGACGCACCCCTACAATTACGAGGCGAATTGGAATGGTCCAGAAAAACGCGTTGTTTGGAATAGCAGTGGGGGGGAGGGGTAAAGT